AAACATGTTCAGTACTGCATGAAAAAAAGGATCCTGAAAGAAATACATACTGTATACTGCTTTATATAACCCCACTCCCCTTTCTGAATTTCCCTAGTTCTGTTGCATAATCTTCAGCTTTTCTATAGGATGCAGTGCTTTGGTATGCAGCAGACTTCACGTCCCATCTTTCTTCAGACCTTCCTTTTATATTTGGGGACTACATCTACGGCATAAGATAGGGTTAGCATGGTTCTGCTGCTAGTACTTGATCTTAATCTTCTGACTTTCATTTTTATTTGCTGTTTTTATCTTACTGCAAACCTTACACAAGTAAGTCTGTGTAAATTGTGAATACATAAAAGCAGGATCTACCATTCTGCAACACATATTGCCTCCAAATATAGCTTCATAACCTTCAAGTACATTTTTACAAATGAAGGGAAGAAAGAACCAATGAACAATATTAAAATGTTTATTAAATAATTATGTGCTTATGTATCTTAGAAATTATGAGAATATGGCTTTCTCACCCCCAACAAATGACTGTTACACAGATACCACATAGGCAGTTTTTCATAATTTGCTATACCAGTGCCAGCCACATAGCAGGTCTCAATTTAGGACAACGTTAGTCCTTCTGAAAGGCTCACACAGACCCATGATGCCCTAAGAATTCCCCAGAGCTTTATGAAATAAAAAAAATTAATGTTCTGATCGCTAGAGGCAATACCAGCAGACAGAGTAAACTGCTGTAGTAAAAACTAGATTCATACACTAATCTCTCCCCTTGTGTGCCCCTAAGCACATCCTATGTAGCACACAGTAATTCCACTGAAATGCACTTGTTTCAGATGTCAAACATGGAAGGAAAATGTTATTTTTAACAGACAGGTATGAAGGAATTAATTGTTCAGCTGAAGTTACGAAAAACTTCAAACTCAGAGGGAATACTGTCATACAAAAATTACTAGATGACCAAAGCACTACAATTCATGCAATGGTTTCACAAAAGGTGGAACATGAACTTTAACGAGCAGACATCATTAGGACTGATCTCTTTCTTCCCTGTCAACAATCAGTGATATTCTGAAGACGTCTCTTATTACATGGTGAAATACTAGAATCTTCACTTCTGTACTAACTGTCCAGCTAACTCAACTCACATGTTGACAGGTATATGCACAGCTGTATAACTGCAGGAACTAAGATGTTAAAGGTATGTTTCTGTAAATGCAGAAACAAAAGCCTGAAGGACTCTCATGTATGTATGAGAATGCCATGGCATGTATGACTAATAAAGCAGTACATTAAATAATAAAAAAGTGGGGTATTAAATACCTACTGGCATAGCTAACACCGTGGGGTAGGAACATGAAGGAAAATTGTATTTAATTATCTGAAGTGTTCAAAAACACAGCCATGGAAGGGAAACTAAACAGATATCCTCAGTGCTTGTGTAGGAACTAGAAAGTCCTTGGTTGGAGGTACACAATTACATACTACTTCCATGTCATGGGGCCCAAGAAAGATGAAGTTTTTCAGCAAGGCTCTGGGACACCTTCCAGTTCTAAACACTTCCTACTTTTCTTCACGAAGGGAAAGCCCTTAGTGTCATATTCGGGAAAAATGTGATGAATCTCCACAAATTTTAGTTGCAACACAAATTCTGCAAGTTGTCACATAAATGTTAAATGTCACTTATGGCAACTGTCTCTCTTACCGGCAACATTAAGACTGCTGCCTCTCCTTTCTTCAGGCTTTGAAAAGCCATGATATAAAGAAACTGTTGACTGGTAACCTGTTTACATTTGGGTTAAGGTCTTGACACCTTGTACCGTACATATTGAATGATCTCATCTCACACAGCTACTACTTGACGCAATCCACAGTATGGTGTTGGTTTACATCTGTCTCACACCGTGAGCAGTTATCTTAAAGGGAAGTGGTTTAGTGGTAAGTAAGTGGTCTAGTCACCCGGTAATGTCTGTGGGAAGTGAATAATCTCTATTTACCTGATGTGCTCTTGACTTTACCACAGAGAAGTCTAGAAATTGTTTTTAAAAACAACATGAACACCCAAACTTTGGAGCATCCAATGGCAAGGGAAGAGAATGGAATGTTATTTGCTGAGCCTCCCAAGAGGTTCAAATCAACTCCCACAATGCAGGACATTTTTTTCTTAGACCCTACCCTCACTCCTTCTGGTAAACACGTATCTGATGTATTCTTCCAGGATATTAGCAGTGGGTATAAAAACATCAAAAGCGTAGCTACCAATGACAAAGCAGGTCAAAAGAAGACAGAAAGTGAAAGTCTAGAAACACACAGGATATATTAGAAACCAGAAACAGAATTTAGAAACAATAAAAGAAACAGACAACATAGAGGAAGAGATTTAGGAACACAATGTGTAATAACAGTGACGGGCAAAAAAAGGCAATACAGGGAACAGACTGAAAATACTACTACTACAAAAACAGAGGGGAAAACTATTGAGAAGATGGGAGGCTCATGCAAGGGACAAATGAAGAACACGTGTGACATTGACACATATGCTTACAAGAGATCTGGTGGACAACAAACCATTTTGGTTTATGCATCAAGTCAGAAGAAATTACTAAGACTCAGCAAGTCAGTGGGCACTGGGTGCTTATTTCTGTCTTACTGCCTTGTGAACCCCAGTAGTCAGTTTTAAGAATTTTGTTTTCTTGCTTTGTGACAGGGATTTAAATTGTTTTTGTGTGTTTCATTGCTAAACATACACACTGTATTTTTGAAAAAATGTTTCTTTGGTTTCTGCTAATTGCTTTTAAGGGTCTTGCATACCTGAAAAAACTCTACTTGCAAGCATACATATACAAGAGGCTCTTCTGAAGACTCATATACTGTCATTCACAATTCTAATTTAAAACAGATTTTGCAGAAATCCATAGTATGAACTATAATAGGTTAAAGTCATTGAACTCAGGTTAAATTGCTAAACATGTTGAGCTTGAAAAATAACCAATCAACTAGTACATTTACCTTTTGCAAGGTAATGTACTAGCAATTCGCTTCTATAGCTACTTAATGAATTATTCTCTACTATTTTTAATACTACTCAAAAGATCCACTATGGTGACAATTTAATTAGAACTAGGTCAAAACTATGGTATTCAGCAAAATCTGATCTGAAGCAGCATCTGATGATTATTTCCTACTTTGGAGAGTAAGTAATTCTATTTTTATCCTCTAAGGTAAGCACATGAAATACATACATTTATTTCAACTTTAAAAACAGTATCACATCTGTTGTGGAAACAAAGTTAGGACCTACAAATACAAGAAATTCAAAGTATAAGACAAGCTCTGCTTCACCTTCTACTTACGCTTGCTGCTCATTTCAGTATGGAAACAATATTAAAGTATATTGTCAGTAACTTGTCTCTGAATTTTCTTTTCACCATTTATGCACCCTGAAGTTTTTCACTTTATGTAATAATACTTTATTTGTTTTCTTACCACTAAAAACCAAAACACAGTATGGTATCTTTGGGGACACTGAGAATCCAAACAAAACAACAGAGATGCCACTGTGCTTTCCACCACTCTGCACCAAAATATGCATATGCAAATGATAAAAGTGATAGGTTGGGAAGGTGACCATCTCCACAGGACAGCAAGCTGCATAGGACAACAGGAACCCTATGCATGGGGCAAATATAGCAGGACAAGAACATGGTGTGGTGATAGCATCAGAGCAAATCTGGGAAGACCTACATCATGCATCTGTAGCTCTTCAGCTGCCTAAATTTTGCATCAGAAAGATACTAATAAGTTTGTCTTGACTAAATCACATATACAGTGTTATGCTAGATAAGAATCCTCAGACTACTGTGCAGATAAATGTCATCCCATGTCTACAGCCCTGCTCCAATGAGGTTAATGGGAGCTTCATGGTGCCTTTTGTTCTTCCATGCTTTCCTCAGTAAGAGGCTTCCATTCATGTACACCTGACAAATGGAGATTGGAATGTTATCCCCAGAAAAATTTTCATGGCTGATACAAACATTGATGTGGAGACCACGGAGGTTTTTGCCACAGCTTTAATAACTAACTATGCTGTGTTTTTTAATGTTGGTCAACATCAAAAGGCAATCATCCCTTACCGTCATCAATGTCTTTGACAACAGATGAGAAATTTTATCTGAGCTATATGCTACATTACTCAAGAATAACTGAATTTCATGGAGTCAATCTTCAGACAGTCCTCAGATTCCAATGTTCAATTTCACAGTGCTATTTTATCAGATTCCTGCCCCAAGAAACTAAAGGCATAACATTTCAGACATAGTTTAGTCACATATGCATTTTTATTACTGTTGATCTATAACAAACAAGGTTTAACTTAAGGTGCTTTTCCTGTTGTCTTCCTGGCACCCTTGTTCTTTAAAGTTTAGGTTTTGTTTCCATAAAAGCAAGGCAGCTCAATAAAACACAAGAACCCTTGCTTAGTACTGTCTACCTCACCACCAGGACTGCAAAAGCAATCAGTGAGGGAAAAGGGGACAACCTGGGAAAATAGGAGTTCTGGTGCATTATAACTTTTATGAATTGTATGGAGGTCTACCTTGACTGCACTTCCCAGTATTCACTACTGTGATACTACACGGAATTATTGTTGTCCAGCTTGCATTTGTGAGTGTATGTCAGAGGAGAGTAAGGACTTGAACAGATATAACAAAAGAAAACAAAACCATCAGTGACTAACTGATTAGTCAGAATCTTACTTTAAGACTTCAAATGATCACAGACTGTCATTCTGTGAAACAAACACAGATATAATCCTAAACTTGATGTACTCCACTCCTTAAAGTATCCTCTGAATTCAATTTAGTAAGTGTATATTCAGGTACGTTTGTGCTCCATATGCATACAAACATGTACACAGACATATAGTATAAGAAGCTAAAAAGTAAAAATTATTTTGCTAGAAACAGAATATGACGTATAGCTGTTCGTAGCCACCATGTACTTACTATTTAGTTGAATCTGACAATTGATACTCCCGTCGTCTATCATAACACTCCTGAATTCCAGGGTCATTCCATAAGCTTCTTATTGCATCTACATATGGGTTCTCAAAAGTTGACACCTTCTCTACATCGACTTCTCGAACTAACTGTGCATGAGCCTAATTCAAAACAAACACAACAGTAAAATTTACTTTGTTTTCAATGTTTGCAGATAGCTCCTATACAGTGAACATGATTAATAGGAATATTTTTTCATATTGGCCATATCACCAACACATATATGCAATTTGAAAAACCAAGTACAACAAAGAAGGTTGTGAAGATGGAAAAAGGAGACAACTGTTATAGGGAGTTCCAGAAGTGAGGAAGAACAGAAAAAAACTGCACTTTTTTATGGAAAGTATATAGATCTCAACATGGATCAGCATATTATTTACCTTTCATGCTAAAAGACACTGTTAAACAGAATACCTACCATCCATTCTACCAAGTGAACCACTCATTAGCAACTGGGACAACATAAATATAGAAAAGACAGTAAAATCCCAAAATAGTCAAAGATGGATGTTTTACCAAAATCTCTATTCACGTGAACAAACTTAGTGATGGTGTAGGAAGGAAACAGTAATGTTGATTTATTGGGGAAGACCTTAAAGTAAACCGTGAATGAATGAGAAGAAATAAGAGTACTGAGTAAATTATGAATGAGTGATGATACACTGTGTTCAAACAAAGACAAATAGTGGTAAATATGGTATTATGACAGGAAGTGGATAAATAAATGTACATATGGGCCCTTATTTCAGACTATGCTTACTCCAATACAGTATTATTTAGATGAAATGGATGAAGCATTCACATTAAAATGTGTATTTAATTAAGCTCATTTTAAAGAAAGGTTTCATTTTTAATTTTTTGGGTACAATCTTAAGTATATAAAACATGCTTTTTAAATGATGACTCATTAAACAGCTTGATGGATTTAGACTCTGATGGTAGCTGAGAGAATGGAAAGGAGGGAAGGAATTCGCTTTTCAAAGAGATTGATAAAAAAACTTCTTAATGTTACCACAAATGTAACAGAAGTTATTACTAAAAAAGAAAAGCAAGATTATTAGAAATTGTCTCTAGTTTCAATTTGTACTATAAATTACGGAGAGTCTCAAAAAGTAATGTCTAAAATTGCGAGTTGCTAATAGGAAATAATCCCTAATAAATCCATCACCCTCCTAAATACTTAAAATGTAGTTAACGCTTATGGAGTCAGAACTACCACAGAAATACAGCAGAATGATTTCTAATTTGTCCTGGAAGTATTATGCACACACTTCAGTAACAAATACATGAATGTATGTATCTCTGTAGAGATATATACACATGCAAACCGCACACACACAGAGAAGACAAGAGATGAAAACTTGGTCAAGCAAAAAAACCTGAGGGAGTCAACCCTCATATCTAGTCTGCATTTGAGCTGAGGACACAAATCTCTATCCATTTTAAGTGAGGTGAAGGTATACTGAAATGAGTGTTCTTTTTATTTTTTAATAAATTTATCCTCTGTTTACACACATAAAATCCCCACCCCCCCTTTTTAGACAGTCCAGGAGAATGATGCTACTACTCATTACTTAACAAAATATTATACCTGCAACTGTTGTTTATTCAAGAGGGAAGAAAAACCTCCAAGTTCAATGTGAAAAATGTGTGTCTTAGAGATAAGAAGACCACATGTTCCCTGTTACCAGAACCCAAATCTCCAAAGTTCTAACAAAGGGTATTTTCTTCTGGGTCATGTCCACGCATCCCCAAAATGTCTGGACAAATCATGCAGAGTCCCTACCTTCTCACAGCAAATAACAAGAAATGGTACTCTACTAAACACAAGCTAACATTCTTGTGAAACAGGGTAGTATTTTTTTTTCTTAATTATCTTCTATCTTATCAAGCTCAGTTCTATATTCTATTGCCTTTGTGTATTTCCAAAAGAATGATGCCCTGAATATTTTCCCACTGCTTTTGACAAACTGATAAAAGAACATATTCAGATATTGGTTTTTTCTTTTTTTGGTACTTGAGCTCTGAAATTACAGCCAACTGATATCAAAATGCTAACAGAGCTAAAAGACTAACTTACTATTCAAAAGCTTTCATTTGAAATCCATCGTAACTGAGGTATTTCTCCAACAGTTCCCTAAACATTCTCTAACAGGTGCTCAAGTATTCTGCAACTGGTAGAAGAGAAAATCTTAAAGGCAATTACTTTATTCAGTTACCTGTCTAGACTTATTACTACAAAGTTGTCCAAGATCTTGCATTGTTTTATTTATCAGTTCTGTATGTTCTGCCATACAACTAATATGACATTGCACTAGGTGATAAAACTTACAAATTAAACTATGATATATGCCAAGAAGTTGCATCCATCAAAAAATTGATTCAACTTTTTAAAAAGAAACAGTATTTCCCCAGTGAACACTGCTTCTGCTTCCCTGGGGTTTGCTGGGGCAGACTCATGACAGCTTGTACCATAATGATATACAGCTCTTCACATCAGTGCTGTTTGTCTTAAAAAGGTAATGCCCCTTCACATAGATTTCAAATCTTTATTAATCCTCAGCTATGCCTTCTTGTTCCCAGAGGTACCATACTTTCCTGTAGAAAACGATTTTTCTTTCTTTGAGACTCTTTGTCAGGCAACATCTTTTGCTGGCTTCTAATTGCTGGTGGCAGAGACAAAAACACAAGATCTCATCTATTGACTTAATTTTTCTCTCATTTGCCCTGGTACAAGTCAAAAGTAATTTTAGTGAAACCTTGTGAGATGGAGAAGCATAAATTTAATGCAGAAGAATCAATCATGCATGATGTGTGGTGTCACTACTCTTAATTACCAGCTTTAGTTTCCTTCCACTAATATAAATAGCAAATTTGGAACATAACTTTTGATGTTAGCATTCAAACATGAAAAAAATTTGAGGACTCATCATTAATCCAGTTTATGCGACTATAATCGTTACTGAGTACTTCTTAGTCTTTACTAATCCTCTCACTTTACCCAAAAATCCACATTATTTGGAAGGACAAAAAGAAAAAAGTCAAGCTTGTTGCCCCTGAGAAAATTGTACCTTCTTAGAGTGCTCTCTTTGGGAATACCAATATTCATTATCAAAATATTGAAACAAAAGAAAAATCCCCAAATGACAGACAAAACTTAAGGATTCTGTAAGTTAACACCAAATTCAAACTGGTCATTACACCAAATTCAAACTGGTCATTAAGATGTAACTACTAGTTCAGCTGTAATGTTCCACAAACAAAATCTAGGTGGTGTAGATGACTTCTCAGTCCAATACACTTTTGACATCAGCAGTCAACATTTTCCATGGCCTTCTGGGAATATAAGAATACTTGTAAACAATTTCCACATTATTTGCCAGAAATCTTACAAACACTCATTCAATTCTTTTTAGCAAATCACACCTCTCCTAAACTTAAGAACTTCTTCACTGAGTTCTGCAAGTATTTAAAATATGATCCCAGAATAAGAAAACCGGAATTTGTGGGAATAGTATTGGATTCTGAAAACAGGAAATCTGAGCCTGAGGACATACCAAAACAGATATAATTTCTCCTTCCTCATTCCCCTCAGAAAACTATTGACAGTGTTAAAAAGTAATTCTGAGCCTGAACAGCGTTACAGTTTTATGCTGGTCTGTCTGGCAATATTCTTTTGGGCACAATCCATTAATAGTAAGTATATTTTTTTAATCTCTAGGCTTCATCATGTCAGTTTTCTACTTATTATCTTCATAATTTTTTGAAAGCTCTGATGCTTCTTAGGGACTAATTGGGCCGGTCAATGGATCTGGTCTCGTATTCTCTGTATGGGCATCAGCCATTTGCAGCCTTACAACAGTGGCTACAATCAATGTAGCAAGCATGGAAAAAGGTTCGTATTTTTATATTCCTTTTGATATAGTATCTGTAATTTTCCCAAATTAGCACTCCAACCTACCAGAATTATTTATATGAGGGAGATCAGGCAGAAATGCAGAGTCTATTTCAAATTAAATTCCTCTGGGATCTTAAATCCACAGGAGTAAGCAATATGCTTGAGACACAGCAGGCAAGGTTGTTCCTATCAATGGTCTCTGTGGACTAGCTCATTTTAAGGTGCCCATTTAAAGAATTCTCTCACACGGAAGGGAACTTCTGTTTTGTAAAAGGATTTCCCAAACCAATCAGAAAAAGCCTGTAGCTATAGTGCGTGGCTGTTGCTAACTAAAGGATCAAGCACAGTGATACTAGTCTGGATAGTATAATTTACATTGATTGCAAAATTGAGAGCAATGGCATGTGATCAGATCCAAGGAGACCAGGAGCTGAACAGAAGTTCTTACAAACACATCATCATGCCCGTGGATTTGTCTCTTTTGGGGGATGGTGGTGTAGAATTCTTGATAACGCAGCTTAAAAGCAGAAATGATTATTTATGCCAACTCAACAACATGAGTCATTTACAGATTCAGACTCCGGTGGGTTGTAATCTACAAGTGTGCTTCATACAAATACCTTACCTTACTGGGCTGTATAGCAAGATATGCTGCTTTGGAGACTCCTGCAAACCTGCAGATATTTAAAGCAGGTATAACATTCAAGGAGGGTAATACTAGTCTATTTCACTGTCTTGAAAATTACTCAGCTGGGGGATGTGTTCCTTAACATGTCAGAAAGCAGCACCTTCTGACTGGTAATCAGTCCAAGGTAGAGAAGTGTTTTTACATAGCAGCCCACAAAAAATAGTTTGTAAGAGGACTGCAAAGCGGATGTTGTTTCCCTTGAGCAACTGTAGAGCATAGAATGGACTAGGGTAAACAGGGAGGAGGTTTCATGCTGTGCTATACCAAGGAACTGTATTTAAATTAATAAAGTGCACTAGGAATTGCTGAAAAAAGCCTTGGTGCAATGCTAATCATCCTTCAGTTGCTGACAAAGGTTAACAGAATCATAAAATCATAGAATTGTTTAGGTTGGAAAAGACCTTTAAGATCATTAAGTCCAACCGTTAACCTAGAACTGCCAAGTCCACCACTACACCATGTCCCTAAGCACAACATCTATGTGTCTTTTAAATACCCCCAGGGATGGGGACTCA